GCCAAGACCCTGTGCTTGCATGGTGGATCCTCTCCATGACATAATTATGACAGTGATCTCTTTGTTTTTTCTGTCTGTGTGCCTGACTCCCTCTGCCTGTCTGTCTCTCTGTCTCTATGTTTCTCTGTCTCTCTCTGTCTCTCTCTGTCTCTCTCTCTCTCTCTGCCTCTCTCTCTGTCTCTCTCTGTCTCTCTCTCTCTCTGCCTCTCTCTCTGTCTCTCTCTGTCTCTCTGTCTCTCTCTGTCTCTCTCTGTCTCTCTCTCTCCCTGTCTCTCTCTCTCAGAAATGAGGAGGTGTGTTTTGAGACAGAATCTTACTATACAGCCTCAGCTGGCCTAGTATTCAGTATGTAGCAAAGACTGGACTCATCCCTAGAGCCGCTTGATTGCTGGGGTTGCAGCTGAGTACCACTGCACATAGCTCCAATGATTCCCTTAAACTGGTAAAAGAAGCTGACAATTTCCAAATGGAGCCCAGCTCTCTTGGGTTCATCCCCTCAGAGACGCCAGCAGCACCCTCCTCTTTCTCTAACATACGCAATTCTTTCAGAGACAAATTTCTGGGATTTATCTGATCTCCACTTTGTTCAAGCAAATCATTTTTCCAATCTGTGTTCAGGAGTAGCTGCGGCAACCGCAAAATGACTTACTCTTCCTCACACTTTGCCTTGGCAACAGGAAGAAAATTAGACAAACTGCAAAGGTGTACTCCACATTTCATCCCACATTAAAAAAAAAAAGCCACTCTCCCAAATGCAATAATCCTTCTGAATGGTTCCAGGTGTCAACTAGGCCAGAGGATGGGTGATGTGAGAGAAGCTGCAGAGTTAATGAGTAGGTGACTGTGAGGAACAGCTCCGGAGTCGACCTGCAGCAGGGCTGGAGAATCCATCCATTCATGGTCAAGGTGGCCGTGGCCTGCAGACATCCACAAGGACATGCAGCATCCTCCCTCCCTCCCTCCCTTTTTCCCTCCCTCCCTTTCTCCCTTTCTCCCTCCCTCTCTCCCTCCCTCCCTTTCTCCCTTTTTCCCTCCCCCCCTCCTCCTTCCTTTCTATTTTTCCAAGATATATGACCACAATCACACAAGGCAGAAACACACCAGGCTAGCCTTGAACTCACAGACACCATCCAGTCTCAGCCACCAAAGTTGCTGGGGTTACACGTGTCACCTCAAGGTGAATTCAAAGCACTCAAATGCCTCCCTTTAAAAGCATTGCATCCTACCCTTGTTACTGCTCAAAGGCTTAAGTATCAGATTCAGGCTCCTTAGAGTGAAGTCCTCCAGGATGCAGCCTCGGCCGATTTCTCCTCCCGGCTCATCATCCCACTTGAGTAATACATTGCAACTACACTGAATGTGCCACGAGTGTGGCTGTTAATAGCCAACCGTACATCTTTACTAGGGCAACAGTCAGACTTGGTGGCAAATGCCTTTACCTTCTAGGTCATCTCGCTGGCCCTATTTCATGAAACAAGATCTCACTATGTGGCAAATGTTAACCTTGAACTCAAGACCCTCCTGCCTCAGCCATTACAGCACATGCCACCTTGCCCTTTCTGGACCCCTCTCTCGTCTGTGTTTTCACCGTATCTTTATCCCACTCATGAACCCGGGCCATGCACATGTTAAATGAGTATACTACCACTGAGCTACCACACCGGATCTCTTCTTACTTTTCATTTTGAGACAGGGTCTCCCTAAATTGCCCAGCATGGCCTTCAACTTCTGCCCCTCCTTCTGATCTTCCCATGTGCTTGGATTAGAAGCAAGCAAGCACCACTAGGCCTGGCTTCTTTAATTCTCTATGAGCTGATGATTTGCTGTCTGGGGCTACCTCTCCAAGGTTAGCCAATCCCTAAAAATGGTAAGCAACTCCCTCTAAGTATGAACACCAATCCATCCACAGGCCACACCCAATAGCCTCTGTTTTTGTACTGTCACAGTCTGGCCCCTAGCTATATGCCACAGTCACTTCAAAACAGTTACCAGGGGCTAGAGAGATGGCTCATGTTAAGAGCAGTGGCTGAGCCGGGCGTTGGTGGAGCACGCCTTTAATCCCAGCTCTCGGGAGGCAGAGGCAGGTGGATCTCTGTGAGTTTGAGGCCAGCCTGGTCTACAAAGTGAGTTCCAGGACAGCCTCCAAAGCTACAGAGAAACCCTGTCTCGAAAAAACCAAAAAAAAAAAACCAAAAAAAAAAAAAAAAAAAGAGCAGTGGCTGTTCTTCCAGAAGTCATGAGTTCAATTCCCAGCAACCACATAGTAGCTCACAACCATCTATAACGACATCTGGTACCCTCTCTTCTGGCGGGCAGACAAACATGCATATAGAACACTCTACACAAAAAAAGAAAGAAAATCTTAAAAAAAAAACAAAAGAAAGAAAAGAAACAGTTACCAAGCAACTAAAAACAGTCTTGTTCCATCGCGCCCCTCATTGCCCCCTAGATCCCTGCCCTGCAGATTCTGAGCCTGTGTATTAGTTACTTTTCTCATGGCTGTGACAACATAACTCACAAAAGCAAATTAAGGGAAGAAGGGTTATTTGGGCTCACAGTTCAAGGGTGCAGCCATTGGGGCGTGGCTACATGATGGTCATGTGACGTTTGAAGTCAAGAAACAGAGAAACACTGGCACTCAGCTTACTTCTCTCTATTCAGTTTGGGATTCCAGCACCTGGGATGGCTCTGCCCACATCCAGGGTGGGTGTTCTCTTAAAAATGCCCAGACCTGTATTATCTAGGTGACCACAAATCCGGTAAAACTGACAATGAAGGTTACTCATCATAGCCTGCTTCTACTGTCCTGGTCATTCTTTCCTAAGAAACCACAATAGAGGCTCCTGCCTCTACCTCCTGATTGACATACATACTCATAATCCCTTTGCGGTCCCTCATGGCAGGGCGTGGCCCCTCCTCATGACAGCTGTAAGAAACACGCTTCAAAGAGAATAGAGAGGCTTTGCTCAACCAAATTTCAAACTCAAAATGTAAATATCTTTCACACTAGCCCAAAGGTAGGAAAGAAACCTCGAGTCCATCAAGCAGTGTCTAGACAAACGAAATGTGCTCTGTCCTCACAATGACATATCAGCCTCACAAAGAGAACCCTGTCACATGCTGTACCATGAGTGAACCTTGAGGACACTATGCTAAATGAAGTAGGTCATTTAGAATGAGTACTTTATGATTCAGTTGATATGCTGAACCTAAAGCCATTAAATTCACAGAGACAGGAGAATGGTGGTAACCAAGGGATGGGAATGATGGAGAATGGAGAGATTATGAATAAGGACAACAGTTTTGTTTTGGGGAGGGTTGTATTGTTTTGTTCTGCTTTGTTGTTGTTTGTTTGTTTTCAGGCAGGATTTCTCTGTGTAGCTCTGACTGTCCTGGAACTCACTCTGGAAACTAGGACAGCCATGAACTCACAGAGGTCTACCTGCCTCTGCCTCCCAAATACTGGGAATAAAGGCATGAGCCACCATAACTGACAAGAACAGCATTTCTGTTTAACAGGATAAAAAAGTTCTAAAGGCCAGGCAGTGGTGCCAAGTGCCTTCAATCCCAGCATTCAGGAGGCAGAGGCAAGCCAGTCTCTGTGAGTTCAAGACCACCTTGGTCTACAAAGTGAATTCCAGGACAGCTAGAGCTGTTACACAGAGAAACCCTGTCTCAAAACACAAAAACAAAAAAGTTCTAGAAATGAGTGGTAATGATTGAACAACATTATAAATATGTGTAAAGACACTAAATTACAGATTTAGAAACAATTAAGAGCCAAGCATGTTGATACATGCCTGTACTCCTATCATGCAGGAAGCCAATAGATAACTACAAGTTCAAAGCCGGCCTGTTCCACAAAGTGAATTCCAGGCCAGCCAGGGATACACACACAGTCTCAATTAAATAAATAAATCCACTATCCACCATCATTTCTTTCAGTCTTCCCATGCTGTCCCCGCAGCACAAATTGTCCCCCTGAGGGCCCTCTATTAGACCATGCCTTCAGTAGCTTCTGCCTTCTGCCTACACGCTCACAACCTAAGCTAGAATTGAACAACAGGTCCCCATTTGTCCCCAGTCAAACCTTCACTGTCCCGCTGCCATCTCCAAGGACACTTTTTACTCTCTATTGAATCTCCTAACACCTTTCAAAGGCCAGCCAGCCCTAACACCCACCCTGCATGGTCCCCATAGTGTCCTTGCTCAGTACTTTCCCATTGGCTCCCTCTGCACTATTCCCTTACTCTTTCCTTACATCGTGTGTCTACTTGTGTTAGTCCTTAGATTCCTTCTGAGGAACCAAGCCCTAAGGAATGTCAAGAGGGTATCTGTTCAAATCCCTGAATTTGTAGTGAGGAAAGCAGGCCTGGGTGACTACTTGCCCCAGTGCTTAGCATTCATTAGTGATAGAGGAGGGAATAGAATCCAGGCCTCAGTTTATGCTTCCCTTGATTTTTTTTGGTTTTTTGTTTGTTTTTGTTTTTGTTTTTTGAGACAGGGTTTCTCTGTGTAACAGCCGTAGACGTCCTGGAACAAGCTCTGTGGACCAGGCTGGCTTCAAACTTACGGAGATCCACCTGCCTCTCTCTCTCTCTCTCTCTCTCTCTCTCTCTCTCTCTCTCTCTCTCTCTCTCTCACACACACACACACACACACACACACACCAGGCTGCTTCTACTTAACTATTTATAAGCATTAGCCAACCAGACATGGTAGCACATGCCTTTAACACTGCCACATGAGATGCTAAGGCAAGAGAATTAGAAGTTCAAGGAGAGCCCACATCCACGTAGCAAGTTCAAGGCAAGCCTGGGTGTGGTGGCTTGGAAAAGAAATGCCCTCACAGACTCAAATATGTGAAAGCTTAGTCACCAGGGAGTGCTGCTCCTTGAAAGGATTAGAAGGGTTAAGAGGTGTGGCCTTGTTGGAGGAAGTATGTCACTGGGGGTGGGCTTTGAGGTTTCAAAAGCCTAGCCATGCCCCTCCCCCCTCAGCCTACAGATCAGGATGTAGCTCTCAGCTCCTTCTCCAGCACCATGTCTGCCTGCACACTGCTGTACTGCCCACCACGACGATAACGGACCAAACCTCCGAAACTGTAAGCAATCCCCAATTAAATGCTTTCTTTCCTGTGAGCTGCCGTGGTCATGGTGTCTCTTCACAGCAACAGAACAGTGACTAAGACACCGGGCCACATGAGACTCTGTCAAAAAGCGAAAACCAGTCTAAACGTGTTAGCTTTGCCCTCCTCAACATGAAGCACAGTCAGGATAAACAATGGTCATATTTCATGTCGTTTGTGCCCCCAAAGCACCTAAGAACAGCTTCCTAAGTCCATGTTGAACCTGTGTGTTTCTAGGTCCACCCTCCTACCTGTGGCATGTGGTTTTTCTCAACTGTCACTTTCTTTTTATTATTAATTTTTTTTCAAGACAGGGTTTCTCTGTGGCTTTAGAGGCTGTCCTGGAACTAGCTCTTTGTAGACCAGGCTGGTCTCGAACTCACAGAGATCCGCCAGCCTCTGCCTCCTGAGTGATGGGATTAAAGGTGTGTGCCATCACCACCTGGCTATTATTACTTATTTTATTTTGTTTGTTGATTTTCAGATGTAGTTCTAGGCCAGGGCTTAAACTAATGACAATCTTTCTGCCCCAGTCATTCAAGTGCTAGATTCATAAACTTCAGGCTCCAAGACCATCTTTATATATTTTTAATTATCTATCTATTATCTATCTCTCATCTATCTATCACAGAATCTCACTAGTTAGGTCAGGCGGGTCTTGAACTCATGATCCTCCTCTGTGCTGGGATTGCAAGTGTCTCCACTCTGACACAGTTCCTATTTGGAGACTTGCAGTGTAGCTCAGTGAATGTTTCCTGTATTAGGCATGAGGTCCTGGGTTTGACCCTCAGCACTGAAATAAAAAAAATAAAAAAAGAATAAAATTTCTATCCTCCAAACTGAGACAGATTTCCTTGTGAGACTGCATTAGTTGGGTGTATAACACAGCCAGCAGAGACCTTGCACACATGAAGCCCTGTTAGATTTCTAGCACAATCAGGGTTAGTGGCACTGAAAGCCTAACATTCAGAAAGGCAGAGCATGAAGGAATTCGGGTTGTCTTTATTTACATGGCACTTGGCTACAAGGCTAGTTTAAGGCCAGCCTGGACTACCTGAGACCCTGTCTTAAAAAAAAAAAAGGCAAACCAAAATAGATAATATTCCTGGAGTGGGATGGGGGTGGGTGCAACTTTGGAAGCACGTCCTGGTTTTATTTTTTTTCCTTGAACCTAATGTGGTTTTTGCAGCAATGACACTTGCTCTAATTTTATCTCAACTTTGCAGGCAGATTGTTCCCAGGGTTGGCTTGGTTCATCTGTTTCCTAGTCCATTAATCCATTGCTCTTGCTGCCTTGGCTCCGTGGGCATCTTTTCAGATGGAACATACACAAGCTGCTTCCTCCCCCACACTGCTCTTGAAAGAGAGAAGAAAGCAAACGCAGCCGTCCTGCAGAAGCTTCCTCTCTCCTTGCAGACACTGGCCCCTTTGAGGTTCAACAGCGTCCTAGCAGATATTTGTCCATGTCCCATTACTTAGACGCAGCACACTCTCCTCAGCAGACAAGCTCATCTTTCTGGGAGACTATTCCTTTCCTGGCCTAATGGATCCTGTCAGAGGCAGGATGTGGCTTTTGCCATCACAGTCTTAAAAAAAAAAAAAAAAAACCACAAAAGCCCACAGGGATAACGGCTACCGTGGCGGTGGCATTGTACCGGCCCCGTCAGCATTGGGATTTGATGAAGAAGAAAAGGAAAAATATGGAAAGTTTGAAACACTTAATAACTTATGAGAGAAACTCAGATGCATAATTACAAGGGTTGCTTGCAAATTTTAATTAAAACTTGGGTGGAAACGAACACCCAGAAACGAGTGTCATTCATCAACTTAAAACACCAACTTAGGTAAACACTGCCACAAACTCAGGGTGGGGGAGCACGGGAGGAGGAAGAAAAGTGATCACTCTAGGTATCAAGCAAATCAAATTACCCCGAAGGCCCTGCCAGACACCCACATTAATCACTGGTTATCCCAGTCACACACCTGTACGGAGGAGATCCTGGCTACTCAAAACCAAAAAAAACAAAAACAAAAACAAAAGCCATACAGCTGGCAGAGTGGACTAGCAGGAGGAGGTGGAGGTAGACAGCCCATACACGGGCCAACCTGGAAGTGTCTAAGCAGCACTCACAGCTCCCCCCCTCCCGCCCTACCCCTCCCCCCCCCCACCAGTTTACAGCTGGAGGAACTGGTTCCTGTAGGGCTGGGCAATCCTCCACTCTGCAGCCCATTCTCAACCCATTTGTTTGCTCTGTGTGGGGGGGGGGGGTGGAAAAACCACCCTAGACACCAATTCTTCCCAAGGAAAGAGGCTTCCAGGTAACACCCAGACACTGTGGCCCCGGGTAGGGAGGCAGGCTGAAGAGCCAAATTGGCCCCATGGCCATTTTTCTCCTTTCCTGTGTTTAGAGAGAGGGAGCTGGGGTGACATCGGGACAAAGAGCCTCTGACTTTGTTTCTTGTGTGGCCCAGGCTCTGTACACACACCCACAAGATGTCCCCAGGGCTGGTCACACACAGGAGGCTGGGAAGCAGCTTGGCCATGGGGCTGGGAGCTATTTGCCCTTGATGAGCACTTTCAAGTGGGAGCCATCTGAGTGTGTACTGTGTGGACGCCAGAGTGCATTTAGAGGGAACAAATGATTTATTATTGGGGCCTCCACACACCCTCACTCAAAAAGGGAGGAACCTTTTCCCCTAGCTCTTTATCATTAAAACCTTAAAGCAGTGGAATCTATTTGGTCTCTTAAGCCAGCCTGGAAGGGAGTCACAGCTAATCAAGCAGCCAGCTCCTCTCCTCCAGCCCTTCTCTGAGTACAACAATATGTAGAAACTGGCAAAATGGACTGCAGACCACTTTGATGTTAAACAGGGGAGGATGGGGCGGCCCTCTCAAACCATGCAAAAACTGGGTCTCAGTTTAACTCTCCCATGGCCTTTTCACAGAGCAAACCTGAGGCACACACAGCTGGACTAGCCTCTGGAGAAGTTAAGTAACAAATAACTCATCTCAGACACAGCCCTTCCTAGCAAAAAAGACCGGCCAGTCTCCTCTTCTGAATTGCTACTCTGATTAAGCAAGATGCTGCTAATAAAATGAATTAATAAATAAAAACAGCTATTTTTTAAAGTAGTTTCTGGGAGTGATGCTCCGGGAATTCTTAGGTGCTGAAAAGAGGGCTCTTAAGCCAGTGTTTAAGAGCACTTGTTGATCTTGCTTGTGGAGGGCCGGGATTAGTTTCCACATTGTGGTTCACAACCATCCTTAACTCCAGTTCCTCAGAATCCCAGGCCCTCTTCTGACTTCCAAAGACATGCATGTATGCATCACACACACACACACACACACACACATACACACACACACACACACACACACACACCACTCATAGATAATAAAATAAACTTTTTTTGGAGAACTCTGTCTGCACTCACTAGCTCTCCCTCTCCCAGAAACCACCAGGTGAGACACAAGTTATCCCCCCACACTGTGAAGGAATTGATGGAGGCTAAGGGACAGGCCTGAGTGTCCGGGTCTGCAGAGGGCCTCCATGCTTGGAATCTCTGAGATCCCAGGTCTCTCTGCGGGATACATAGTTTTTCTTGCAAATTTTCCTTCCTGTGAGATAGCAATGTTTTATATAAGCAAACACTCCAGACACTTGAAACTAATTCATTGAATGTTTTTAAGATTTCAGCTCACTGGGAATGAAACTTCTCTGATATATGTTCCGTGTTTCCATGGCCTACAAAAGAGGCAAAGTTTAGGAAATGTCTCGAGGAACAGTTCCCGAGCAGGCAGGAACTACACCTTTAATCTCTGAGGAGCTAGGGGAGAGCAGCTGGTACCCCAAGACTGCTGTGTGTTGCAGTATGGGAATGGGGCAAGGCCAGAGGGGAAACCCAAAGGGGTTGATGTGCCATTCTGAGAGACCACACCAAGACCACCCCTTCTTCATCAGCATGAAGTGTGAAGACATACAGATGCCTGTTTCTTCAAGGTCTCCATTTCTGATGTCCCTCCTCTCACTTGGCGCTTATATTAAGCATGGTGACATGTTTTTCTCCTATAATCTATCTTCTGTTGTGAGGACTCCATCTACGAACCCAGCCATAAGTGGGAAAGGATACATACTATTAACCCTCACATTTGTAAGTCACCTCTGGAGAAAAGCAAACCTTTGCAAAACAAAAGATGTGTGTGAATAAAATGTCAATCGTGGTGATAGCTGAATGATGCCACTTCCATTGTATGCCTTCCTTACTGCATGGGGACTCTGTTCATCACCATCATCACCATCATCATCATCATTCTACCTACTTGTGTATGAGGACACGTATAAGCGTGCACATGCCAGGGTACATGGACGGAGGTCAGAGGATAACTTGCAGAAGTTGGTTCTCTCCTTCCACTGTGTGTCCCAGATATTAAACTCAGGTAGTTTTAATGGACACCAGAGAAGTGTGCTGGGTACACAGCTGTGGAGCCAACTATTGTCCTCCAAAAGCATGCCCTAATCCCAATTATCCAGGAGGCTGGCTGAAACAAAAAGAAGATTGCAAATCCACAGCCACCTTGGGCTATATCTTGGCTAAGTTCAAGGCCAGTTTGGGCCACTTAGTGAGACCCTTTCACCAAAAAGACAAGAATACATAAAGAAGACATCATATGTCTTCAAGACACTTAACATTTACAGCCAAATGTGAGACCCACTAACTGTGTTGTTCTATTGTGCCAAAACTGGACTTCCAGAAGCCTGGGAAATGGAGATGCGTTGGAGCTAAGAGGGACTTATTTGGAATCTTTGTTCTGTCTCTTGTAGCTAAGTCACAATGGATACTTAATTTGCAGTCTTGGTTTCTCTACTGTAATATAGGATTAGAGATGCCTTCTTTGAAGGACTTCCATGAGAGTCAACACCTGGTGAAAAGTCCACTTGATTTATTGAATGAAGACACTGAAAGAGTGTGTGTGTTTTGCCCACATCCACAATAATACAGTGTCCTGCCTTCTTCCACTAATTGTTAACCCATAAATTTCATGCTGAGATTTAAGTGCCAGGAGATACTCCCTGTAAGTTGGAGCTGTAGCTGAGACTATCTTCAGATAAAGCCACCATGCAGAGACTCAATGTAGGTTGTGAGAGCAATTAAATATATGGATTTAATATTATCATATGTCTTGTCTCACTCAGCTGTTCAAACAGCCTCTTAAGGGTAGTATTGTCTCCATAGTATAGAAAGGTACAGCAGCCAGGGCTGGCATGGTGATTCAACTGGTTAAAGTGCTTGCCACACAAGCCCTATGACCCCAGTTCAATCCCCATGAACCCACATGAAAGTGGAAAGAAAACCAATCCCGCAAAGCCATCCTCCATTTATGTACTGTGGTACATATGTCCATGTACACATATGATATGAAAATAGGCATAATAATAATGTGGTTCTAATTATTTTTTTGAAGACACGGTTTCTCTGTGTAGACTTGGCTGTCCTGGAACTTGCTTGTCCAGGCTTGCCTGAAACTCACAGAGATCCTCCTGCCTCTGCCTCCCAAATGCTGGAATTAAAAGCGTATGCCACCACTGCTCAACTTTAAAAACAAAAGATAAGTTCCACAGCCTCCATGATCGCAGCATCAAAAGACTAGACCTCAGAGAGACCAAAACACTGGTTGTATATTTTATTTCATGTTGTCATTTATTCTCATAACCAATTTACATACAGCAATTGTGAGCCACCTGACAGGGTGTGGGTGCTGGGATCTGAATGTCTGTCCTCAAGAGAGAGCATCAAGTGCTCCTAAACACAGAGCTGGCTCTCCAACCCCAGATACAGCTTGTGAAAAACAGCACCCACGGGCTGGAGAAATGGCTCAGCTATTAAAGACTAGGCTCACAACCAGACAGACAAGAATAGCACCCAGAATATTATTTAAAGCTGGACAATTTCAAGGAAGTTTTTCAACAGTTTATGATCTGTGGATGAGCGATTATGAATATTACTGGTAAAAAGCAATTTCTCTCTCCATCTGTCTTCCTCTTTCTATTTCTGTCTCTGTTTGCTCCTCCCCTCCCCACACTCCATAGTATTTCTGTAGACATAGAAATGAAATTAGAAATCCAAGATATTAATTCAAACTTTTTCTTCTATTAAGTGATCAAGTAGAGAGAGGGGAAAGAGAAAGGAGGAAAATATCTCATACCTGTAAGAGTTTATTTACTCTTTGAGGCCAGGCTTGGTGGTGCAGGCCTATAAACCCAGCACTTACCAGGTAAAGTCAGGAGGATTAAGAGTTCACGGCCAGTCTCTACTACGTATCAGCTTTGAAGCCAACCTGGGCCACATAAGACACAGTCTCAAACACACACACACACACACACACACACACACACACACCAAAAAAAAAAAAAAAAAAAAACAGAGAAGGGACAAGGAAAAAAAGAATATGAATTTGAATCAAAAGCATTTTACCCTATGGTGAAGTTAGTTGCTTGCTTGTTTCGTTTCTGCTTTAGGCAGAATTTCCCAATCAGTGTGCTGAGCTCATGGGCCATAGGAAACATACTGACCCTTCAAGCCCCAAAACAGCCAGAGTCAGGGTGGCCAGTGAGCCTAGGCCTGTTGCCATCAGTTATCACAGAAAAAGATAAGGAAGTTCTTGTCTCAAATAGAGGAGAGGAGGTGGAGAGATGGCTCAGTGGTTAAGAGCACTCACTGACTGCCATACCAGAGGACCCAGATTCAATTCCGAATACCCACACGGCAGTTCAAAACTGTCTGTAATTCCAGTTCCGGATC